TTTTGAAGTAATATTAAAGTATTTGGAAGAAAAAAGCGACAAATTATGCAAAATCCTGCACCTTCTACTTTCTTGAACAATTTTCCCTCCGTTACTTTTCCCTCCGTTACCATGACCTTTCTTAATAAAAAATCTCATGACTCAAAAAGTAAGAGGTTTTTCAACCTAATCTTGTACCATATGGTAGAAAACTATATGAAGCAAATATTCAAACCAGTTTGTTAAGGATATGTAAGTGAGAACCAAGAGTTATCACTGTTTGGATTTATTGCCCAAAAAGTGCTGCATATTTCATTCCCTCTGTTACCGACATGAGTTTTTTAATTTTTTATGAACAACTTGAAAGAATATCACAGGTTTAACTTGACCCTGTTGGAGTGTAACTCTTTCCTACATTCTGATACTTTACTTATTTCAATAGTCCCTCTAGTTTCTGAATAAGAGACATTTGAATGTAAAATATCTGTTCGTTTCCCTCCGTTACAGCTTGACCGGACCCAACAGTGAACTTTAAACACCCCAGAAGTGTCCCGCATGCGCACTGGCGGACACAGAAGTCGCCTAAACCTGGACGCAGCATTGAGCACCTGGAGATTTTAAAGTTCCTCTCGTACCGGAGCCAGAACATGAACAGATTATTTGTTTTAAGGAGGAGATTGAGAAAAAGAAGGATGAGGTTTTTGGCCGTGGTGTTTTGTGGGACAGCGGCGGCAACGTCCGTAAAAAGGAATGTATGGGTGCGGAGTCAAGAGTGGAGGGATTTATATGTGCTTCACTCACAGGGAGGGTGAGTCCGCCACACACTACAGGATCTTTAAGTTATTATTTGATAGAGAAATGTAAATTACGGTGTTTAAACTGTAAGAAAAAAAAGTCCTCGTGCATAAATGTTGCTGTTTCTGGGTGAAATTTTGTTGTGGTCCGAAAAGCAACATTTCTCACGCTTTGTTTCTCAAGGATAACTCCAAGATAAAGTGTTCAAAAGAAGTCTAGGGAGAAGAGAATGCAATGAATAACCCCGTATCCTCACAGACCCGCTGCATTAGTCACTGATCTGCTCAAGGTTCACTGATAAAAGGAGTTTGCTGCTTGTATGAATCGGCGTTATGTGAATGGTGCTTACATGTCTAAATGTTCTAGCTTTAAAGGTACACTGTGCAACCTTTCCTGCTCGTCTCCATGGAGATGTTATTGTTTTTTATTTTCTGGAAGGCATTACATGAATCCATCTTGCATTTACTCAATAACATGGGTTTTTATTGACCTACGTGCGGCTTTCTTACTGTGAGTGGGCTCGCCTCTCCACAGATCTGATATGTAGCTTGACCCTGTGTCGTCAGCTCCTGTCTCCACGGCGATAAATGCGAAATGCCATAATGCGGAACAGTTCAGGCAACGTCTCCATGAAGAGAAGCTGGTGACAGAAAAGTTACACAGTGCACCTTTAAGCCTGAGTCATTATTCATACATTACACGTTGTTTACAGACTTTTCATGCGGCGTGTGTTAGTGTGTAAGATATTTTGGCTAAAGTTAAAGATGCACTGTGTAACTTTTCCCGTGCAAAATCTGGAATCTGCTGGTCTCTATGGCGATGCGCCTGGAATGTTCCACAATATGGCATTTAACTTATCAACCAACATGAAGATGAACATGATTTAGTCGATTTATGATTTAGTCGACCTTTATAATCTGAAAATCATGTTCAAAGTAAACAATAATCTCCTGTCAAAATCTTTACAGAACATGTTCAAAATCCAAAAGCCAATATGAGTTCAGAGGCACAGCCGTGTTTATCAAAAAGAAAATCAGAACAAACATTCTGAAATTGTGTAAATCTGTTAAAGGGGTGGAGCTCTGGAACAACTGTACAGAAAACCTCAAATTGTGCACCAGTCTCTTTCACTTTACAAAGAAGTTTAAATGTTTAACTCTGGACAGATACATGAATTATGATAGTTAGTTTGTGCTGTAGGACTTTGTTGGACTGTTTCTGATTTGTTTGTTTCCTCTTGCTGTGTTTATGAAGATGAACTGGTGTCAAGATGCTCTGATAAAGGAAGAAAGGGTAAAGGCAGAATAAGATTAAGCTTCAGCCTGCATCTTTTCGGTCTGTGTATGTTAAACATGACTGTCTGTGAATTAATGTCAAAATAAACCTGTGACTGAAATAAATAATCAATCAAACCAAGATGAGCAGGTCTGATCTGTGGGGGAGGTGAGTCCACGTACTGTAAGACTCCATGTTTTTTTTGTCTTGAGCAATAATACAAACAAAATCTGTAATTGATGAAATGTTTATAGATAAGATTTAATGTCATCTCCATGGAGACAAGCAGGTGGTGGAGCCATCCATCCATCCATCCATTTTCTTCCTCTTATCCGAGGCCCCCGAGGCGTTCCCAGGACAGAGACATGGTCCCTCCAGCGTGTCCTGGGTCTTCCCGGGGCCTCCTCTCGGTGGGACATGCCCGGAACACCTCCCGAGGGAGACGCCCAGGAGGCATCCCAACAGATGCTCGAGCCTCCTCAGCTGCTCCTTTCGACGTGAAGGAGCAGCGGCTCTACTCTGAGCTCCTACCGTGTGATCGAGCTTCTTACTCTATCTCTAAGCGAGCGCCCAGCCACTCTGCAGAGGAAACTCACTGCAACCATTTGTATCATGATCTCGTCCTTTGGGTCATTACCCAGAGCTCATGACCATAGGTGAGGGGAGGAACGAAGACTAAAAAAGTTACAGTGCATTTTTGTTATTTTGTTATATCTAACATCGGATTTCACAAAAAAATCGGAATTGAGCGTTAAGCCCTGCAGTCTGAACGTAGCCTTAGTCTGTTTTTAAAATGGACCATGAGTCTGGAATAAAGATGATGAGGATGATGATGTTCTCAGTGTTGGTGTTAAAAGCAAGAACATTTGAGTGATTTAGACCACTGACAATTGGTTTCTTTTTCCAACATTCCTGTGAATATTGGACCATTGACTATATCATTATGTGTTTTCTAAGTTTCTGTTGGTTAAATCGACAATTTTGTTAAGTCTTGAGAGGTGACTGCTGTTGTGATTATGGGCTGCTCATGTTGCCAGTGGTCTGCAGTGGTCAGTACCTATCAAAGGAGCTTTAGACCTGGGTTGGTCCTGGGTTAGACCACATTTAGTATTGGCGTAGACCTTGTTTGCTCCTGATCTGGTGGTCAATATTGAAATGGAGTTTGCTGGAGTTTGCTGTTATAACTTCTTCTTTTTCTTACATTTATTTCCTTGTTTTTAACTCGCTAAAGACCGAACTTAAACTGTCTCGTACGTATAGTTAATGTTGCAATATGTGTCAGTATGTCATGGCCACTGATCTCTTCCTCTCCTCCCTCCCTCCTTTCTTCTCACTCTCTCTGCGGAACTAAACATCAGAAAATCAGACAAACACGTTGTTTACTGGGTAAGGGAGCTCTGATCTTCTGTCTCCCTGAGCTCATGTCTGCAGATGCCTCCCACAGCTCCTCCACCAAGAACAAAGCATTTCAAAGAGGTTTATTTTTTACTGCTGCTGTACAGAAACTGCACAGTCAGAGCGAGAGAGAGACAGAGAGAGATGAGGGAGACGGCCGCCTCGCTGATGAAACACAGACAATAATAAAAGATGAATTCTCAAACCTGTCACAAACATATTTTTATTCAAAGATCAAGTCTTTCATTCATATTTCTGACACAATAAAACAACATAAAAATCATCAAACTTTTCTTGGGCTTTGGCAAACCACGGGCACTTTCGAACCCACTGCTTCGTTACCTGCATTGATTTTAAGCAGCGTGTTGGGGTTCTGGTTCATCGGCGAGTCGTCAGCGCATATTCACGAACGTCAAAAATGTCAAAAATAAACAAACTAGATTGTAGCCGGGGTATTGTGACCGAGCTCATTGGGGTCAGGGAAGTAACAAAATAACCAAGATGTAAAATGGAATAATTGAAATAATGTTTAATCAACAGGGATGTAAAGGTAAATTAACAAAACAGATTTAAATATATACAGAATATAACCTAAACTAAGAAACAAAACAACAGAATTAACAAACTAGAAAAGCAGTCAGAGAGCGCAGACCTCCGCCAAGGACTACCCCCATTTTTTATATAAAATCAGTCTTCTGGATCAGATCCGGATCAGCCTTTGGAATATGAAAGAGGATCCCATTGTCCATCCCTAAGTCAAGTTTCATGGGGTTTGGTCAATAATTAACCAAGATATTGAGAAACTAAATTTTTGGCCCCATTTACCACAATGTTAACTAAAATTTCAAAGTGATCCAGAATCCAGGATTTCTTCCGGATCACCCCCAAAATGAAATCAGTTCTTCCTTTTCACATTTCCAACAAATCCAGAAAATTTCATCAAAATCGGTCCATAACTTTTTGAGTTATGTTGCTAACAAACAGACAAACAAACAAACAGACAAACAAACAAACAGACAAACGCCGGCAAAAACATAACCTCCTTGGCGGAGGTAATAACGAGTTTTGTGCTACAAAACAGGGTCACACAGGCTTACACAAAAGGTAAAAGGTGAAGGTAAAAACACCCACTGAAAACCAGTTCATCCTCATTCTCCAAAAATGAAGAAATAAAAAATAAAAAATCTATAATCAGCCAAAGATTTCACGACCTCCCTGCAGTACCCCCCTGTTGAAGACCTCGGATCTAAGCGACCAAAGAGGCAACCAGGAACGAGACAGTTGAAGGTAGCGCCCCTTCCTGTCACTGTCAATCAATCAAGGCCTTGAGGAAAGAAGGCTCCTGGTTTATTATTGCTATTCATATCTTGATTTACAGAGAAAAAAGCGTAATAAAAACACCAGGATCATGTAGAGCGGGTTAATAGAAACATTTTAAGACTAAAATGACGAGGCTCACGGCAGCAGTTTTTACGTGAATTGGAGCAGGAGTCGATGGATAAAGCTTCTATTATCTGATTGTTTTTTATTTAAACTCGTTCCCTCGTCTCTTGCAGGTATCGTGTCCATCATGAGCTTGGCGGCGTTGGCCTATGAGCGCTACATCCGGGTGGTGCATGCGCAGGTGGTGGACTTCCCGTGGGCGTGGAGGGCCGTGGGGCACATCTGGCTCTACTCTCTGGCCTGGACCGGGGCCCCTCTCATCGGGTGGAACCGCTACACCCTGGAGGTCCACCGGCTCGGCTGCTCCCTGGACTGGGCCTCCAAAGACCCCAACGACGCGTCCTTCATCCTCCTCTTCCTCCTCGCTTGCTTCTTCGTCCCCGTGGGCATCATGATCTACTGCTACGGCAACATCCTCTACACTGTGAAAATGGTAAGAGTGATGTTGTTTCCTCATCACCAACAGACTTGGAGTTGTGTTTTGTTTCATTCACATGTTTTTAAACTCCATACACCTTCACTAGAATCATTGCAGCTCTGGAATTGTCAATCTCTATTGACCTAAAGGTAAAAGGAGCTGTTAACGTGAAAGTTTCATGACATCATGAGGTGGAACAGTGCATTTTTGAGCTTTGGAGATGTAGAAAGACTAAGGCTACGTTCAGACTGCAGCCTGAAGTGACCCAAATCTAATTGTTTCACCCCTATGCTCCTATATCTGATCTTTTAACGACCGTCTGAATGACACAGATCCGATTTTTTTCAAATGTGACCCAGTCCATTTGGATATGTGCTCCTAAAACCGATACATATCTGATCTTTTGACATGTGACTTCGGTCTGAACGGTCAGGTCACATTCATCCCACCTACATGTCACAAATGTTCTTCTCATCAGGCAAAAATTGTGTCTGAACTCCGTGTCAGTGAAGCAGTGAAGCACAGATCAACCCACACGTTCCGTACATTGAGGTGCGGCGTATTATGTTGGCCGCAATGCTTTATGGACAGGAGTCATTTTCGGTCGGTGTATTCGGACGATAAGTGAGGCAGAAGTGTTCAGGACATAACACTGCACTGTTTCTATTTTGAAAAGGTTATAACCAACGTCAAAAGACTCATAGACGTCGTGAAACAAACTCTTAAGGCATGGAGCGTCTTAACACGTCTTTTGAGGTGGAGGTTCGGTTGGGCTTGTTAACATTTGGTTGGGCCCAGGCTCGTACTGGACAGTGTACGAGCCTGGCACGCTGGCACTGTTCCGTCCTCGCGTTGGTCGTTGTTGAGTTTTGACTCTGGGGATGCACATTGAATAGAAGTAGATGTGCATCTTCTACCATCCTCCTTTCTCCTCGTGTTTTCTGTTCAGCATCTTTGACACGTGCTGAAACCAACGAGTAACCCGCTCTTCTTTGTCGCCTTTCAGGCCTACGCAATTTGTGCTTGACAAATGGGCAAATTATCGTGTTAGCGGACTTTTGTAGAACGCACAAATCGCCAGCCCACCCCTGGTAATCATACGCTTTAGTAAATGTAAGTGCATTTTCTGATCAAAGAAGCGGTGTGTGTCCTCGCTGTGAGAGCACACGGGAGCGAGGACGGGGAATGAAGAGTTTAGACACACGGTCCTGGAGAATCGCTGGTGATTGCATCCATGGAATTATAATAAAATCTGATTGTAGATCTGTCCTGGTTCATGTTTTGTAGTGGTTGTTTTTGCTGATTTTGGTTCATCTTTTTCCTGTAGTGTAACGTGCCTTTGGTGTTTTATTTTGATATTTGTCCTTTCAGCTTCTAGTTTTGGGTTTTACTTCGTGTCTGTTGATTGTTTGCTCCGCCTTGATGTGTTACACCTGTATCTGTGTGCATATATTAAGAATTTGCGTGTGACGTGGCAGTAACGTGATTTCATGTTTTGGCGGCCAAGATTGGGATTATTTACTGTATTTCAACGTAATCATGGCAACTTTAAAGAGCGCAAATTACATAAAAACTGTCCGAAATCGCCAGCTCGTTAGATCAGCCGTCATTATAAAGGTATAAAGCTAAAGTCGTCCTTTTGGGTTACAGAATGGATCTCGATCTCATTCCGATGGAGCTTTGTCAGTCTAATCAACGATCGCTCTGTGTCCGACCTTTAGTATCAGATATTTACAATGACTTCATTCATTCGACATCGTCCTACACCAACCAAGAACTGAAAAGGTTAGAGGATTATAAATATTTTGTAGTGGGATGCGTGAGATCTTTGTTGATCACCAAACATCGGGGGAAATAGAGGGCCAGGGTGGGGGAGGATTACTTGCTGGCGAAAGTTGAAGGATGGAATTGGAGGGATTCCGTGCTGGTATTTTTCATTTCATTTACTGTAAATCCCTTCTTTGTTTGTGTGGAGATGGTCCCTCACCAGAAATGAAATGTTGACTGCACAGACGATTGTTCTCAGTGAGCCTCATTCCTCTCTTTTATGTCCACTTTCCACCTCTGTCTGCGATCTTTATCATAGAGGCAAAACCTTAATAGCCTGTCTTCTCCTCTGCACTTTGTTGGTTCTTTGTCTTTGTCAGTATCATGACTAGGGATGGGCATGATTAATCGATAATTGATCATTAAGAATTTCATCGATTACGTTCATTTTAATCGACAAACTGAATGTAGGTTGTTGTGCGTAGTGTGACCAAACAGGTGTGTACATGTGTCTCTGCATCAGAAGGAGCGAGACACAAACAGTGGGTCAGTCTGCAACGTACCGAAGCACAAATGTGTATTTAACGATGACTTTGTACAAGAAATTCCACGCTTTCCGTTGCGTTCGGGACAAGTGTGAGTCCATGTGCACAGTGAACAAAGCAGGAACATATGTTTCTGTGTCCAGTGGGAAAAAGTTTTGCCAGGTCGATGACGAGTCCCACCTCCCTCCCCCCGTACGCTGTCCTGGTTTTGACAAACACAAATCTGGTCACACTAACCTGTATTCACCTGAGTCATGTCTTTTAATCCAACCGAAATTGAACCACATCAGCGACACAAGAGCTGTAGTTTTATCTTCGCTGAGTTTATGCAAATTAGCGATGAGGTTTTAAGTTTCGTTTCTGTGAGAGTTAAAACAAAACTGAATTAAACACATTATAATGTCAAACGGGCTGATGTGGCTCTAGAGTCGTTACGGTTTATATGTCGTAAAGTTGAATTTATTTATGCAGATTAGTAGTGCAGATAGTAATAATAATGATGATCATTTTAATATAAAAACGTTAATGATTAATCAATAATCGATTGTTAATTCTTCCGACGATCGATTAAGAAAATTTCATCGAATGCCCGTCCCTAATCATGACTGTTGTATTTTCTATTTTTGGATTTTTGGATTTGTTTTCTTCTGGTTTTTGGTTTTGTTACATTAAACCACTGAAGTGCCGTCCTGCATTTTGGGTTCTCACCTGTTTCTTCAAAATCCATGATTGTATCTGATCAGGTGAGTCAAGACTGGCACCACCACTAAAAAAAGTCTCCCACTCAAAGCCGCCGACTGATTGAGAGTCAAAATCCCAGACATATCGGAACTCATTTAGAAATTGCTCCCGGACGTTTTTTTTTTTTTTGTTTTTTTTTTGGAGGTCCCAAAAGGAGGACATGTCCGGGAAAAGAGGACGTCTCGTCACCGTTTTTTAAAATGTCACTGAACAGATGGACCTGAACTCTCACCTCACACACACACTGCACTCTGCACCAACACCGGGAAAGTTTAAAGTTCCTCTTAAATGAATGTTGAGGCAGGAAATGAGTCTAAAGTATTTATAACAAACAGATTACCTCTGCAAAATGTGTCATAAGGACAGAGTGGTGCATAGACTAGTTATCTAAATATATTTTCTTCAATAAGTAAGAGTAACATTACTTCATAATAGTAAGTGAGACAACATTACAACCACTAAAATCTCTGTATAATCAGGCAGAAAAAGTGACAAAAAGAGTCAAATCCTTACAAAAAGAAAACGTTAAACTTTGTGAATCTGATTGTGTATTCAGATTTGGGATTAAAATGTAGAATTTTTTTTTAAATACTGCATCTCCATCAGTTAAGAGATTTGTCCAGCTTTGTTCTGAGCACCAGGAGAACATCCAGGTCCACACGTCACATGTCTGCAGACTCTCCAGATGTAACTCATAAAAAAACAGACCTGGAGTTGTGTTTGGTTTTATTGTCTGTCTACATTTCAGGAGCTTGTGATAAATACGATCGTTCAACAGTTTAACAGCTCAGACCAGCTCGCCTGCTGTACCTCAAACTAAATCAGCTCGGTTTCACTTCGTGGAAACCGTCTGACCTCGCAGCATTAGAATTTGTTCATTCGACAGTAGGTGGGTACTTTTTTCATTTAACCAATCATTGCTATTTGGTCATGAAGCTATTAAGCTTTTCCCAAATCCCGTATGAAGAAGGGCAATAACGTCTTTCCCCTTTATAAAATTCACCAAACATTCTCTTTGTTCCGGCTTTAAATCCTCGACCTCGGGAATCCAACACTGAATATATGGCTCTTCGCTGATTGGCTGGTGCCCAAACTTGCACTTCCGTGGTTCTTGCAAACCGTCTAGTGTATTCCGATTCCTTACCTAGCTGCTGGAGAGAAATAAAATTACTCAAATTAAGACTTAATTTGCACTTTACTTTAACCAGAGGTGGAAAAAGTAGAGAAAAAGTTTTATTAAGTTATTATTAAGTATCTTTACGTTGCTTAATTCCTATTCAAGTAAAAGTAAAAATAACCATCTAAAACTCGAGTAAAAGTAAAAAAGTACTTCATTTAAAATGCAATTTGAGTTAAAGTTACTTAGGCTACATTCACACTGCAGCCTGAAGTCACTGAAATCCGATTTTTTTGGCCCCTATGCTCCTGTATCTGATCTTTTAATGACAGTCTGAACGACACAGATCCGATTTTTTTCAAATGTGACCCAGTCCACTTGGATATGTGCTCCTGAAACTGATACATATCTGATCTTTTGACATGTGACTTCAGTGTGAACGGCCAAAGTGCATTCATCCACCTACACGTTATCAACAAGACACAAATGCACACAAACGTTCTTCTCATCATATGAAAATTGTTAATGAACTCTGTGTCACTGAAGTGAAGCACATCACCACTCACCACTCTTGGCTCCGTCTCCACATCCACACGTTCCTTTCAACAGGACGTCGCTGCCGCTGTCCCACAAAACACCACGACCAAAAACCTCTCGTCCTTCTCCTTCTCAATCTCCTCCTTAAAACAAGTAAGTTGTTCATGTTCTGGCTCCGGTACGAGAGGAACTTTAAAATCTCCAGGTGCTCGATGCTGCGTCCATGTTTGGACAACTTCTGTAAACACAGAGACGCTCGCTGCGGTTGACGTCGTCGTGTCTCCAGTGTCACATGTGGGACACTTTTGGGCCGTTTACTGTTCACACTGGAGTCACATACAAGTCACATTTAATTGGAAATGTGAACGACCTCGCAAAAACATCAGATTTCACACAAAAAAAAAAATCGGAATTGAGCGTTAAGCCCTGCAGTCTGTGGCCTAGGTGGCTCCAGCCTGGCTACAAGTGTCCTGGGTCACATTTGAAAAAATCGGATCTGTGTCGTTCAGACTGTCATTAAAAGATCAGATACAGGAACATAGTGGTGAAAAAATCGGATTTGGGTCACTTCAGGCTGCAGTCTGAACGTAACTTAAGTAAATTTACTCAAATTACATTTTAAATAAAGTATTTTTTTTTACTTTTAGTAGATTTTTAGATGGTTATTTTTACTTGAATAGGAATTAAGCAAAGTAAAGATACTTTTACTTAATAACATTTTTCTCTACTGGTTAAACTAAAGTGCAAATTTATTTTTAACTTGAGTAACAGAGCTTCTAACAGAGCAGTGCTTCCAGTTAGCGTCACACCCAGGGATGGTGAGATGCTCTGTGGATAAACAGCAGCTGTGGGGGAGGCAGCTGGACACCGTCTTTGAGGATTCCTCTGCTTCATATTCACTTTCATCATGGTTTAGATCAGCAGCATCAACTCCAACACTGTCAAAGTCTGTAGGACGTTTCAGACACATACTGAATAAGAAATACTGACCACATATGATAATAAAAATGAAACAAATTACTTTACATAAAACATAATTACAATCAAGCAGGGCTGCTCAATTATGGAAAAAATCATTATCACGATTATTATTGAAATCACGATTATTCAAACGATTATTTTTTTGTTGCACGATGCATTTATTCAGCATTCCTCTCTTTGTTACACTTTGTTATTGATAATTTATGCAAAAATTAGAAATTGAACAAGTTGAAAATAAATATAGCTTACAAATATGAACCTTAGAGCACAGGTGTCAAACATACGGCCCGGGGGCCAGATCCGGTCCTCCAAGACCTTTAATCTGGCCCTCGGCTGATTTTCTACTAAAATATTTTAATCATATTTTCTATTAAAATATTGGTAATTTTCTGTGGTGTTTATCACAGCAGCGTCTCCAGTGTCTCTGTACGTGGCCCCTCCCACCAGAGCAGCACAAATGAAGACTTGTCTCTTTCCAAACGCTCTTAAAGGACGATCGTTTTGACTGTTGACCGTGACACCCTCATCAGAAAAATGTCCAACATGAGAAAAGTGGAGCCGAGTGCAGGATTTTACAAGAAAAATTGACTTATTCCTATTTACATACAAGTTCATGTTAAAACATTGTGTTGAAATTGCATTTTTCTTAAAGTTTCAGCTTGTTCATGATATTATAATATATAGTAAAAGAAAGAGTTCATCAAATAAAAAAGATTTCCATAATAAATTTGTGTTTCTCTGCACAAATATTTGAACTTATTGTTATTTTTGGGGTTTATATGACATGACTTTTCTGATCCGGCCCCTTTGGGATCAAAGTAGGTTGGACACGGCCCCCGGACCAAAATGAGTTTGACACCCCTGCCTTAGAGCATAATAAAATAAACTTTGAACATGAAATAAGGCATAGAAAAACATAAATGTATCCAAAATTAACTATAAATCCAGCTGTTCTACTATCTCTATCTTCAAAAAAATAAAATAAATATACTAATTACATGGGTTTAATCATTTCAGCTCGATTATAAGAGTTTGGAGACACAAATTGAAATCGCGATCATAATTCGATTAATTGCACAGACTTAAAATCAAGTGATAAGTGCTGTTTTAAGTGTTTGCGATAATCCGATTTACAAAGGCCCACGTGTATGTTTCTTTCTCTCTGGGCTCTTATTCTGCTGAAGCTGTAGTTTAGACCTTTTACAAACATGTTCTGAAATGGATGGATTCTTGTATCTTCTCTCAGATCGTTGTATTTAAAGGCTCTAAATTACACAAAATGGTTTCTCGTGAGCTTTACGACATGTTAGAATGTTGTTACCTCATCAAAAACCTGGAGTTGGGTTTTGTTTTATTGTCCGTGTACATCTCCAAAGCCCAAAATGCTCGGTCATGTCTTTGTAGTGAACCTTTTACCGTTTAGTTCAGTACGTAGAGAGTTCGGCAATTCTAGGACTGAAATCATCCAAATGACTCTAGAGACGGTGTGTGGAGTTTAGAAACACATTCACAATCTAAATATGTAGTGTTAAGTGTGTGTGAATGAAACAAAATACAACTCCAGGTCTGTTTTTGACCAGGAAACAACATTATAACACAGATCAGAAAATAGAAATGCACTGCCCTAACCTGCATATCTGTATTTTAATGGTTAATATGTGCACTCACTATGAAATGTGCAACACTCTTCATTTTTTTTATGCATAAATGTAAGATAGATCATTTCAGTCATATTGCAACATTCTGGGCAAAGCAATAACATCAAGACACAGGACAAGCAGGTGGTGGATCGCTCACAAGAGAAGTTACATGTCCAAACTATGGTCCGTGGGCCAACTGCGGCCCTCGGACAAATTTTTCTTGGCCCTCAGGCTTCCAGGTGACTTGGCCCAAATTACCTAACATCAATTAAGAATTCACTTTTTATTGCAAGTTTTTTGAAAATCTACTTTGATGAAGCCAAAATTTAATGTTTAGTGTGTGGTTTTGAGGAGCTTAACATGAATAAAGACTGACGGCTCATTCTAATGTGTTAAACATGCACGTATTTTAATTATTCACTGAATTGAGGATCAGTCTACAGCCCTCGATCAGCCCTCTGGTCTGTGTTTAGCTTTGTGGCCCCTGATGAAAAATTTTAGACACCCCTGAGTTACATGTCGAGCCTTTAAAGGATATTTATATCATTTTTATTCTACATATTGAACATTTTTTTCATATCACAAGGGATAAAATGACATAACATTTGCACTACTACACTTCCGACTGCATTTAAACATTCTTATTAAAGCAGACTTATTATGGAAACTCGACTTTTCAGAACTTTTAACCATGTTAGCTGGTTCTCACTTATCCTCATGAAGTTATCCATCCATCCAACCGTTTTTCTTATCTGGAGCCGGGTTACGAGGGAAGCAGTGTAAGCAGGGACTCCCAGACTTCCTTCACCCTGGACACTTCCTCCAACTCCTCCAAGGGGACCCCGAGGTGTTCCCAGGCCAGACCGTAGACCTCCAGTGTGTCTTGGATCTTCCCCGAGGCCTCCTTTCGGTGGGACATGCCCGGAACACCTCCCCACTGCTCTGTACTGGTTTCAAATTAAAACTTTCAGCAGTGTTGTGTGGCCATTTTAGTATAAATGAAAACAAAATCTGCTATTCGAGTGATGTGCAGCTGTCCAAAGAGCTACCCGGCTCTTTGTTGTGACGACGCTTACGATGTTTGCTCCCATTGGCCCCTAAAAGTTTTCTAAAGCAGAAGTCAGCAGACGCTTTTCTTTTGCTTTTATAACTTGTTTTCAGATGAATATTGCAATTAAAAATGTGCAAATTATGATATAATGACTCCCGGTGTCACTTATTATAACTAGAACAGACACAAGCACAGTATGTCTGCTTTAAACGACTGGTGGTTTCTTCAAACTTCACATCAAAGTACAACTGCAACTCCAACAGTTCTTGTGTGACCTCCTCGTGTGCGACCTCCTCGTGTGCGACCTCCTCGTGAGCGACCTCATCCTTTGTGACCCACTAATTGATGTGCTTCTTGTCTTTTCCAGCTTCGTTCGATCCAGGAGCTGCAGACGGTTCAGATCATTAAGATCCTGCGTTACGAGAAGAGGGTGTCTGTGATGTTCCTCCTGATGATCTTCTGTTTCCTGGTCTGTTGGACTCCGTACGCGGTCGTCTCCATGCTCGAGGCCTTCGGTCGTCATAGAAACATGGTCTCCCCCACGGCCGCCATCATCCCGTCCTTCTTTGCCAAGTCCAGCACGGCCTACAACCCGCTCATCTACGGCTTCATGAGCAGGAAGGTGAGTCCAGGTTTTTGATACAGTTACCCCCAAACCACAACGTAACGCCACAGAGCCTGACAAACCTCTGTCCTAACTCTCCAAAGTTCACAAACCTCTCCAAACTTCTTGCATAAATCAGAACAAAATATTCCACATCTTTTAGCTGAGATACGTAGGAGTTTAGTGGTCAAACCTCCTGGTCAAACACTGTAAATTTCTCTGATCTGGCCAAGATTTTAAAACTTTTATCAGGTTATTCATCTTGTTTTCAGATTTATGATCTACTTACTAGTTCTGAGATGCTCAATTCTAGTCTAGAGGTAGTTTATTTTAAGATCATTTGTCAAGTAAATTTATCTTGCTGCATGGACAGATCAGAGTCCTGCAAGGGTCTATTTTTGGAGACCCGACACCAAACCCGTGATTTTATTGGAGTTAAACCCGCACCCACCCGGACCCATTAACATTCTACCTGTTACCCGTGCCCCCGTAGACCGTCGGGTGACCACAGGCAAAAGGACCAGGAGGTAAGCGCAGCTATCGCCCGATCATGCTTTGCGGACACCCTGCTCCACGAGTTCGGGTTCTCCCTCTCTCTTGAGTTCAAAATTAGTCCTGGTGTAGTCCTGGTTTAGTCCTGATTTAGTCCTGACCCGGCTGTGTGTAATCACTACTTCTGATCCGGTCCCTTTGGGATCAAAGTAGGTTGGATAAAGCCCCCGGACCAAAAATGAGTTTGACACCCCTGGCCTAGAGCCTCGTGGCTGTCAGTCTGAAAAATGTAATATATAAGTCACCCAAGATATATATAAGTCACAAGAAGCACCCAAACAATGGAAAAAAGTGCGACTTATAGTAAGCGTGAATAGAGCCTGTTATTAGAGCTTTGATTGGTAATTCGGACATGCCTTTCTCTGATTAGTTAATCCACCTGTCAATCAAACACAATCAGAAACTATAGAGACAGGATACACTTCCAGATGTGTAAAGCTTTATAAAAGCATGTTGTCTTGTCTGGTTAAACAAAATCTGGAGATCTGGCCATCAAATCTAAAACATGTCCAAGCAAAACCAAGAATACACCAGGACAATACTAAGACTAAACAAGAACTAAGACTAAGTTTGAACCAGGACTGGAACCGGTTTGAAGTTTGGTGTGAACCTTCAAATCAGTTTACAGTTATGGCCGTCTAAATTTAACTTCCTGTCACCGAGTCATGGGGCTGTCACTCTTGTCACTACACTGCACTTGTTAATGACTCTGTAGAACTGTTAATTGGATAATCACTAAAAATATCTTATTAAACACATTATAAAAACAGTGAGAAGTTATCATTTCATATAGGCTAAAGGCGTGCCCAGACTCTCTCCTCCCTGTAGGTTTAACGGACAGTGTTAATGGCTCTTTACATGTTTCGTTTGTGCTTTGAGTGTATTTTCCTCTCCGCTGGACCGAGCTGGCCGCTGTGTAATGTGCACAAACAGATCAATGACCTGTCACAACAGACTGAGCTTTGCCCTCCTCTTCACCTTCTCGCTCGGTGGGGCAGATCAGTGGAGTTTACTGATGCGTTTTTCAAAGGCTTTTATTATGTTGTCATCAGGTTTGCATTGTGCTGCTGAATGTGATGTGTGAGTTTTGTGGTGGTTTGTGAAATCAAAGAGGCCATAAATGACATGACATAAATTATTTCACTTTTAATTATTATCCTAGTCTGAACAGTGTTTTATTTTGAAAAAAGGACTGAATTCTCTCTGTCTGTGTGTCACTCACACTAGGACTTTAGAACCGTGCGGTATGTTTGTCCAGTGTGAGTGTGATCGAACCGTGACCAGGCACTGCACTGTTGGACTTTGGCCTGGTTGGAGGAGGTGGACCAAAGCGCAGCACGGTTGCTTATTTACGCTCGCACATGCACGACTTTACTATACGAGACCTGTGTGGGCGCTGATGTTACTCACACGAGGAAAACAGTCAATAAAGTCCAATCTAAAACGCAGTGAATCCACGCTGACCTTCAATAAAGACTGTGGACAGTAATGAAAGTTTTGCAGCGATGTCTCGGGCTGTCCTCACTCCTCCTCCTGTCCTCCTCTCGTATCTGTCTCACTATTTAATAGATATTTCTGAACTTATTTTCTCCGCTAAAGCCTTAGCTCTGCTGTGCATCATGTAAACAAACAGCGCCGTGTGATGATGTCATTGGGCCATGGCTCGGTTCTGATGTGTAGGTGAGAGTGCGGAACACAGAACCCTACACAATCGTGCTTGAGCACCGCACAGTTCTAAAGTGCTAGTGTTAGTGCACCTTAAGACTCACTCGTGAGTGACCATACCAGCTTGTCAAAGCCTGATCCTGTCAGATCTCAGAAGCTAAGCAGGCTGGGCCTGGGTAGGTACTTGGATGGGAGACGCTAGGAATTCCAGGTGCCACAGGAGGCACCGGTGGTCAAAAACTGTTGTTGTGTCCTTAGGCAAGACACTTCACCCACATTGCCTAGTATGAAAGTGGGTGTGTGTGAGTGATGGTGGTCGGAGGGGCTGATGGTGCAGATTGGCAGCCTCGCTTCTGTCGGTCTGCCCCAGGGCAGCTGTGGCTACAATAGTTGTTTACCACCACTGAGTGTGGAGTGACTGAATAATGAACTGTAAAGTGCTTTGGGGATCTTGAAAGACACTATATAAATGCAATCAATCAATCATGTCTTGACTCTTGATGTTTGTCTCAATCACGTGATACATTAACACCAATATTAAACCCACAGGCGAGTAAAGCCGCTCTGAAAATATTGTCTGACATTAAACTGGTCCGTGGCACAAAAAAGGCTGTGGACCACTGCTGTAGATGTTATAGTTCAATGTTTGGTAAGAGACAGTTTTTCCTGTTGATTACTGTATTTTTATAAGAAATATTTAAAAGGAATGTTCACAAATGCTGATCCCTTTCTGTTTTTGATTAGACGCATAACTCACTTTGTTGAAACATAACCATCCCAATTTTAAAGGTACAATATGTAACTTTCTGGAGGTGTCGCATCATCTGCATCACTCCATGGAAATGTAAAGTTAAAACCGTATATTGGGACATTCTCCATGGAGATATATGAGTTTTATGCCATATTGTGGAATATTATAACCAAAGCAACAACATTTCCATGGAAACAAGCAGGAAGAAGGCTCTCCACTGAGTCAGGTTTGTGGAAATGCAAGCCTGCTCTCAATAAAGGTTTATTGGTGTAATAAATACAACTATACTCATTTTTTAGTGTGTATTATGGATAAAAAGTGACATACTGGGGCTTAATAATATTCATTTTAGTTGCTCCTGTTTGTATTAAATATTATCAACCATTTTGTTGTGAATTCTAAACCCCGGCAGTAAAAATAAAGCTCTTGTTTCTTCTTCTGTGTTTGTTTCTTTTACAGCACATGTTCGTCTCATGTCCTCTGCTCTGCGCTCTCGTCTTTGATTGACAGGTTAATTCCTCCTGACTAAACACCAGTCTTTTATCTCTCCTCAGTTCCGCCGCTGTCTGCTGCAGCTGCTCTGCTCGCGTCTCTCGTGGCTCCAGCGCGGCGTCGGGTTGAAAGAGCGCCCCCTGGCCCCCGTGGAGCGCCCCATTCGCCCCATCTTTGTGTCGGACAGCTGCGGCGGGCGGGACAGACCCAAAAAGAGAGTGACTTTTAACTCTTCGTCCATAGTCTTCATCATAACCAGCGATAACCTGCAGCACCTGGGCGTCTCCTCCAAAACGGGAAGCGAGTCCCAGGCCAACGTCATCCAAGTGCGCCCACTGTGAGCTCCCCCTGGTGGCGGGGAGGTGTTTGTGAACTCAGTTTCTACTTCTGTCCACAAAAACCTTAACACAATGTGACAAATAATTAGAATTTGACGATGCAGAATTACTTCAAATGTGTAAACGTGTAAAATGATTATCCAAGTGTTTCAGAATGGTGAAAAATTAGGACTGTTGCCATAGAAATTGACCATTTAAAAAAAAAATTACATCTTTTGAATGGAAAAATGTGCTTAAATGTTCCAAGAAAGCTAAAACCATTCCAAAAGATGCACTGTGTAACTTTTCTGGTGGAGGGTACGTACCTTCTTGTTTCCACGGAGATGCTAATGCACGCAGAATGTTCCACAGAATGGCATTAAAGGTTGTATGGAGGATTTTTTTTGTTTTTAGTTTCAAATTCAATGAAAATTTAAAATACCATTACAGAGACGCAACAGCCTTGTAATTATGACGACCAAAAAAGAATGAAAATCTATCAACTGTGGACGTAGTGAGGCCGGATAAACGTCAGCCAATAGAAAACAAGGCTGCCTCATTTTCTATTGGCTGTTAGGTTGTCAATCAAACTCCCTACATTTCTAGTGTAACTGACTTGCCGGCATGTGGGGATTATGTGGTTTACACAGCGGGTCTTAGAGGCTTTTTTAAACTGTCGCTTCCTCGCATTTCGCACAAAGTTTGGTGAGATGGCGGACGAGATTAGACGACCAGTTCGACGGAAAAGAAAGTCCGTTTTTGAGGTTGCTGAAAGAAGAAGAGAAGGCGAAAAGGAGCAAAGACAAACTGAGGTGAATGTTGGAGATCTCTTCCAGCGATTGCGTGAATGATGCAAACGAAGAGTCTAAAAACTGACGGGTCGGTCGCTAAATTATTTCTAGACAGTCACGACAACAGTAATTCTGAACGCGCACTGGCTGTAAACAAGTGTGATTTCTAGAGTAACAAGGCAGGAGGAGATGTTTCGACTGAGGAAGGTGGTGTCACACATGCACAACATTTGAAAAAGGACTGTCGCTGTATTTCTCTTCCCTTAAAAAATCCTCTATACAACCTTTAAAGCTACTTAACACAATGGAATCAAGTAGACGACGTCATCCTACCAAGTTTCGGGTCAGATCTGTGGAAAGTTGTTTTAAAACATTTATAATTGAATAAATGGATGAATGACAAGGTTAAAGCAACACTGTGTAACATTTCAGGGAAAGCAATGACGTCCCATTGAAGACAAACAGGTGATATATACAAATTTTGCATCCTCAGTGCTGACTTTAGTAACGCTTTAACATTATGTGTGATTTTTTGGTACCAGTTATAAATTTAAAAGACTGTTTTTGTCAGTAGATGAAGCACAAATACACAAAATAATACTGCAGTACGAGGAATCAACCCAGGGTATTTTCTACGACCTCACTTGCAAACCCAAACCAAACTACGGCGACGTTCAGACTGCAGCCTGAAGTGACCCAAACCCGATTTTTTTTCACCCCTATGCTCCTGTATCTGATCTTTTAATGACAGTCTGAATGACACAGATCAGATTTTTTCAAATGTGACCCAGGACACTTGGATCTGTGCTCCTAAAACCGATACATATCCGATCTTTTGACATGCGACTTCAGTCTGAACGACCAGGTCACATTCATCCCACCTACACGTCATAACAACACGGTAAAAACCACCTGTCGCGAGCCAATACAGCCCAACGACGATGCGTTTGCTCACTGAAATAGAGCGCTGAAGATGTGTTTCCTCCCGCGAGAGAGTGGTACAAGTCGACGCTCACAAATGTACACAAACGTTCTTCTCGTCATACAAAAATTGTGTATGAACTCTGTGTGAGTGATGCACCAAAGCACAGAGCAATTAAGGTTTTACGTCTACGTCACAAAGCCACGTGACCTGGTGTTGATGCCGTCATATTGGAGGTTAAACTATCCATCTGGACAAACGTGTAGTATTTGTGTGTGATAAAATTTGAATTGAATAACAATGGTTTTGACCTGTGTTGTTATTGGATGTTCTGGCCGGAGTCAATCTGCTAAAGAAGGAGGCCAAAGGATCTTTCTATCGGGTCACGGCTGATAAAGATCGCAGACAGAGGTGGATAGCGGACAGAAAAAGAGAGGGATGGGAGAATGGGAGTACAATCGTCTGTGTATGGAGTAAGAAAGCTGTCAAAAATATTCGTGCGCGTAAAATAGAAATCCGTGCAATTGCATTTTGGCTGTAGTTGCACATAAAATAAATATTTGTAAACTCTCAAATGAGTCCAGTCGTACATAAAATATATTGTGTGTATTTTTATCCATCAGAATACGAATTGAAAAATTACGACGTCATGAATTACAATCACGAAATGAACATTTACGATTACGCTTTCATCAGTACGAATACGAATTCACAGACGGAACTTTACTGTCAAAAATACGTCATCACTTCACAGACATTATTCATCGAGCAGAAGAAACATCGATCAAGATCAAGACTGTGCAGCTCAAGTTTGTAGCAGAGTAAAAACAGAGTAAAAGCACAAGAAGCTACAACAGAACAACAAGTGGGTTAATTAAAATCTATTGTAAAAATGTCTTGAATTCGGGAACCGAACGCTGCTGTATAATATTGTGTAGAAACACCTCCTTTGAACGGGAAATTGCACCTATATGTTAGATAACATAGTGGAGCCAGTTGGCAACATCCGACGTAACGTTCTCCCAGGGCTAATTAGCAAATATCAGGTTCTCTGTATGTTTAGATTAAAACATTCACGGCTACAGCCACTCTGCGTTTACCCTCTGCTACAAACTTGAGCTGCGCAGTCTTGATCTTGATCGATGTTTCTTCTGCTCGATGAATAATGTCTGTGAAGTGATGACGTATTTTTGACAGTAAAGTTACGTCTGTGAATTCGTATTCGTACTGATGAAAGCGTAATCGTAAATTTTCATTTCGTGATTGTAATTCATGACGTGGTAATTTTTCAATTCGTATTCTGATGGATAAAATACACACAATATATTTTATGTACGACTGGAGTCATTTGAGAGTTTACAAATATTTTATTTATGCGCAACTACAACCAAATATGCACGGATTTCCCAAATACGCACGGATTTCTATTTTTACGCGCACAAATATTTTTGACAGCTTTCTTACTCCATATCTGTGCAGTCAACATTTCATTTCTGGTGAGGAACCATCTCCACACAAACAAAGAAGGGATTTACAGTAAATTAAATGATAGATACCAAAAGTATTTTTCTCGTCGATGTACCGGCACAGAATCCGCCCCACCCCCTGTCCTCAAGTCCAAAATTCGGGATGCATGTGTCCCACTACCTCTGGACATTTGGATGTTGTTGCCACTGCCCCACAAAACGTCATAACCATCCTCGTCCTTCTCCTTCTCAATCTCCTCCTTAAAACAAATAATCTGTTCATGTTCTGGCTCCGGTACAACAGCAACTTTAAAATCTCCAGTTGCTCAAAGCTCGTGTCCACGTTTAGGCGACTTCTGTAAACACTGAGCAGGCTCGCTTCACTATTGGGGCGTTTAAAGTTCACACTGGAGATCACGTAGAAGTCGCATTTAATCGTAAACGTGAACGACCTCGCAAAAAAATCCAATTTCGCAAAAAATCCAAATTGAGCATTAAGCCCTGCAGTCTGAACGTAGCCTAATTGATCCAGCCCAGGGTATTTTGCAAACCCAAACCAAACTGACTGACCTCCAGGACCTGTGTGTGCAGATGTCCTCCTCACTCCTCCTGTTTATCCAGGTTTAGAGACAGACCCATGTCCACCACAGTAATGGAATAAAGGTTTTTTAATAGATTGAAGCAAGAGCAGAGGTTTCATTACGACATTACTGAATGCAAACTTATCCTAAACGTGGACCTTTATTGACATGTAGAAAAATCTGTTCTCTAAGTAGATATGACAGACCAAACCACGGATCAATCAGTATTTACTCAAGTACATTTACTTATTTAATAACCTTTCCGTAGTAGTTTTTTGACACCATTCTCCTACTTTAAGGTGGATTGTGTAACATTTCTGTTGGTGCGTCCGTGAAACGCTTTTCTCTGTGATGTTACTGCTTTTCCTGGAATGTTTCACAGTATGGCATTAAACCTTTCTATGTTCATGGACCAAATCTGACAGTTACAGGTCAGATCCGTGGAGAGGCGACCCCGCTCACAGTCAGAACGTGTATTTTTCGACGTATTTCTGAGCTGTAAAACCATCTGTAATTGAATAAATGTAAAGTGGAGCTGTTTAATGTCACACTGTGGGACATTCCAGGCAGAGCAACGATGTATCTATAGAAACAAGCAGGTGACGGATCCCCAACCGAAACGTTACACAGTGCACCTTCGTATTTTACAGCAAAATACCAAAATGTGCCTTGCCCTACTACAGTAATTATATTTATTATGATAGATACAGACGGTACAAAGTTGACATATTTTGACCTCAAGAGTTACCGTATTTACCGGGCTATTATTTGCTCTGGATTATAAGACGCACTGTCCTTAAATGGTCCATTTTCGAACTTTTTTCACAAAAAACCCACACCGGACTTTAAAGGAAACACAGCAGTTGGATGGGTCAGTCGGATTTTGTTTGGCGCGTTCACGGTGACTCTGGGCTTTGTTCAGTCGTGTCTAGAAGCGGCACATTGCGCTCGCTTTTTCGGTTCGTTCCTCCGTTCCGTTCCTCGTCGGCGTGGAGTGATGAGTGTGTCTGTGGGTGTTTTTCGCTGTGCGGTCGCTGTCTGCTCCGTGCGTGTTTGCGGCTTTGTAGTTTACTGAAGTCGTGCTGGGACACCCGAGTGGATTCGTGTATGGGGCGCTCTGGATTGTGGGGCGCACAGTCGTTTTTTGATGGAGTTGGAGGTTTAAGAGCGCGTCAAATAGCCCGGAAAATACCGTACTTAGGGTGCACTCACACTAGGACTTTAGAACTGTGACCAAGCACGAATCGCCCCTAAAGCGTGGCAC